CAAAAAAACCCCAACAAAAATTAAAACAAAACAGACAGACAAACTAACAACAAAAACCCCCAAAAACCCAAGACAAAACAAAATTAAAAGTCCCCTTCCTTCGGTCCTCCTACTGCGTTCTTTTGCAAAGACAACCAAGCCAGGAGTTGCTCACTGCTCACACACTGCGCAATGTCGTAAGTCAACACTGCCGTGGACACGGGGGTCTGACGAGAATTGCACCAATGAAATATCGGAAAGACTGTTTATTACCAGAGCTCGCCAGGGGGGTGGGTGAGGAAGGGGTATGGGGATCGTTGTTATTTTTGTTTTGAATTTTTTTGTTTAGTTGTCCTTGTTTGTGGGTGGGTGGGAAAGGAAGGGGGGGGGGGGGGGTGATGGAAAGGAATGTTAGTAATGACAATGATGAGCCTAATGGCGGCAGCTCAGTTGTACATATGATAAGGCGTCAGCAATAGCGTATTTCTCAACAGTGTTCAACAGAAACGTTATACCCAGTACACACGGCCCATCGAATTCATTTGACTGAGTCGGGAGCAGCAGGATCTTCCTTTATAGATGAGGCACAAAATGCCGTTTTTGTACAATTTCGAGTAAATTTGACAAAATTCGACTGCGACTACCAAAATAAAACCTGAAGGAAGATCTGAGTGGCTCCTACTGAATCAAATTAATTCGAATGGGATTGTGCAGGGGTATTAGAGGTCGTCACCTCGCTAATCCACACGCGATTTCGTCATCATTTCTGAGGCGACGGCGGTATCGGACGAATCTAAACGCAACAGCGTCATCATTTCTGGGGCAACGATGAAATGGAATTGTCCTCCACAATCAGCGACTGCGCGCTTGTCCCGGGGGAGCTGTTCGTCCGCTGCAGTGACGGGAGAGGTTTGAGTTGTAGCCGTTCCTCATACGTCGTGGAGTACTCGGAGAGATACTGCTGTGAAGGCGAGTTGCGCGCTCGGTACGGAAGACAGCACAGCGAGTCTGTGGGCTGCGGACAACACTTGGTCGCCAGTTTCTGGCCGCATCGTCTGCAGCCGTCGCCTACCTCGACGTGGTGATCCTCGGCGCCATCTTTGCCGTGACGGAAGAGCCCTGCGCATGGCCAGAGCAGCCAGCGGGAGCAGGCGTTGCCATTGCGACCGCCGGCGTTGTCGCTTCCGGGCAGTTTGATGAAGATGCCGTTGTCTCCGAGAGCTTCCTTGAGTTTCCGGTCACAGTCGGCGAGGTAGATGAAGCAGAGCGACATGAGGATGTTGAACAGTGGCGCGCACATGGAGAGCGGGATGATCACGTTGTTGTCGTAGTGGCACAGGTGGTTGACGCGTGCATAGATCGTCCCCTCGCACTCCCCGCTGGTCAGGGTCTGTGGACTGTCCGCCGTCTCCGCTTGACCGTCGTCTGCAGTCTGTGTCACGTCTTTGGGGCTTCCCGACTTCCTGAGATGGGCCATTATGTTGTCCACAAAGCCCATGTTTCTGTCTTGTTTCGTTTCGGGTGAATGAACACCCGTGTGGAGGCCGAGTGCTTTCGGGTGCTTCATTTCTTGGAAACTTGTCGCCGGTACCCCGTTTTCTGAGAACGTCTGGCTTTGTCTCGTGTTTGGCGTTGGCTTTTGAGCATTCTGTGATCTCCCAAGGGAACACATAGACCTGTACGTCTGGCAAATGGAGATGCATTTGTCCAATGTACTTTTTGGTGAGCGCTTGGAAATCTGTCGGGAAATTTCCGAATCTGAAGAGCATATGTCGTCCTGATGGGCTGTGGAAGATGTTGTCAGTTCATCAAGGCGGTCTGGGTTCGAGCCATGCCCTAGAGGCGGTTTTGTGGCTCGCAGTGGCTCTTGCTGCGTTGTTATTGGTGTTGTTGAAGACGTTTCTAGGAAAGAATCTGTGTCGTCTTCAGCGTTCAGAGCATAATTCATGATCCGGTCACTTCCAAGCTGGTGGTCAGCCCAGCCGCGCTGTACACTAGGAAGTCTGGCTCCTTTGACGGCGTAGGCCACACTCTCCGCCGCACCATTTACGGTCACCGTGGTACGGTTGACTCGCTGTTGTCGTGGTGGGCCGGAGAATCTCCTTCTGGACTTCACGTTTAGCTGCTGCACAACGTGTGAACGAGAGATCTTGCTCTTCCAGGACACTGGGGCGTCTGCTGAATAGGAGGGCGACTGCAGAGAAAAGGATCCGGTGGTCAGTGTGTGACGCGGCCACAAGAGTTGTGCGTCCAGGTTGCAAGTGGTCAGGCTAGTGTTGATGGTATCCAGCACCTCATGCCGAGACATCCTGTGGCACTGGTAGAACGTCAGAGTGGTCACACCCTGCCGAGAGAAAAAAGGGGTCATGATGTCACTTAGCATTCTCTAACTATAATATTGGTTGGTCTATGCGCTTATAATAATATGGATCTATGCTGTAGCGAACGTTGTAAAATCCTTACTAAAACGTACCAAAGCTGGTCATATTTGACTTACAAACAAACGTACAAATGACCATGCATACCATATGACCTATAAAATCATACTATTTGACCTACATGTATTTATAAAGAAACGTAGAAAATAACGCAATGACTGGCTCATAAACAAACGTAGACATAAAAGTACTGTTTGAACTATAAGCACGCGTAGAAATGAACGTAAACTACTGTCCGACCTACAAACAAATTTATGAGTAAACGTTCAAACTAACTCACCCGCTGATGTCAGGGACGTACAAACAAACGTATCAGTAAACATACACAATAAGGTTTATACTGAAGTAAAACGTTGCTGACTGTTTTTACATTTTTGTAGATGTTTTACGCCATTATCGACACCATTTAGGTCTTTACCGCCTACGTACTAGCGTTTGTTTCGTAGCGGTAAAGCGCTTCGCTGTTGCACGCAGGAGACGGAGTTCGATTTCCGAGTGGGGAGAAAATTTTTATCGAGTATCTCGATCTTCCCGCTGGGATGCATCCTTCTCTGCTCCGGTTGGCCCTGACAGACAGGGTCGGGAACTCGCTTCCTGAATTATCTTAATTATGTCGTTTGGGACGTGAAACACAAACGTTAAGAAAAAAAAAAAGAAATTGACTGTCTATATTAAAAGAAAATTATATTATTATTTGTAAGACCTCTCTCACCTTAATTGAAAAAAAAACACACAACAAAAACAAACAAACAAGAGCAACAAAATCGACAGCAACAACAATAACAACAACAACAACAACAACAGTAATAAAAAGAAGCACACACCTGTAAGATCTCCACTGAGCTGATGACGATGAGGGCGTACCCAGTGAGCCGCCTGCCAGTGCAGCCCAGACCAAACACTGTGAACACGGTGATGCAGCAGGCGAACAGCGCGGGCATGCCCAGGTTGGTGCAGAAGTTGGCGCTCTGGGGCACCAGGGTCTTCAGCGGGCTCAGGTGTTCTCGACAATCCTAAGGAGAAGGGAACGACAAATTAATGTAGGCGTTTTTGGGCCCCCATCGACATAATTTTTGATCATTTTGGTGACAGGATTCCGATTATTCCTGGTAAGGACAGTTTAATCCACAGCGGACACTCATACTTTTTAGAAAGAAAGTGAAACTGGTAGGCAATGACTCAATTCCTTGATGTTTTCAGACGATACATAGCAATCAAAATCTACAATTTTATAAATTCTTATAAAGCTCGAAATCATGAAAATCTAGCCCCATCATATTCTTTGGAATATTGAATGCGACCTTTGTTTCAGTTTTGAGATGTTAAGGGGGTGTGGTTCCTTCTAAAAGGTGACATTAGAAAACAACGATTGCATGACCAAATGGAAAAAACCCAGATATAATATTATCTTTAACGGGGCATTAACCTCGGAGTTGTGAGCTCACCTGCATGAGCAGCACAGAAGCGACGATGACAGCTGTGTTTGCCATCGTGAGCAGCAGGAACACCAGGCGAGTGAGCCAGGTGAGCACGGATTGGTTCCGGATGACCCAGTACGAGGAGGCGTTACCGGAACTTGCCGAGTCCTTCCGCTTCCGCTCGGGCATGCGCAGTGATAGTCTCTCGCTGGCGCTGTTGGAATAGTCGTCAGGACTTAGCTGATGGTTGCTCATGGCGGTGTCGACGCGGATGGAGAGAACGAAGAAGTAGAAGAAAGAAGATTGGGCTGCCTTCTTTTTTATTGCTTCTTTACCGTTCCTTTATAATGTATGTGCGGCTGGAGGGTGTTACTGGCTATCGTGGATTTTACACGTCTCCTGTGCTGGACGTTAAAGGCGGGACGTGCAATATTATTGATCATATAACAATATGTCTGTCGTTGTATTTACTGTCCTGATGACGACGTAAAAACGACTCCCCCGTAGAACACAGCCGTTTGCTGCCTTCGATAACACGAGGTCTGTCTTGCGAAAGGTTGGGCTTTGATACTTTCCCTCTTTTCAGCTGGACAAGTATTATGTTTCTTGTGGGTCGTCTCCAGTTGTTTCTTGGTAGGAATTGTTCACGGCCGAGGAGTTTGATTTTGTTCTGTGGGTATGACAAGAAGAATACAAAATGAGTATTTAAATTATAATGGTCTTCACCTTCCAAGTGTGCGCTTCTGGTATCCCTTTACTAAATCATCGTCATCATCATCATCATCATCATCATCATCATCATCATCATCATCATCATCATCATCATCATCATCATCATCATCATCATCATCATCA